TACATAACCCTTTCCAAACTTCAACATTAAGTATTCTTTTACAGTCAATGTGATGACCCGTCGTGGCCGTCACACTACGAAACAACACTATATACTACTGGAATATATATACTAAAATAGTATAATAAAATAAAATACAACACAAGTTGCTAATCAAGCAACCAATTATATACAACAAAATATGCTACTATAAGGTAGCCTACAAAAAAAATATGCATCTCCAGGCACCTCCTATGGCTTCTAATAGCTATCTCCCAGTCTATCCTTGCCCTGCTCCTATAGCAACGTATAATCATCGCAGTCCAAACTATATGGAAACACGCAAGGGTAAGCTAGAGACAATAAACAACTCATAAATATCAAATATGAAACACAACTATATAATCATCTTCACATCCGACACAAAAGATAAACAACCCATATATTATACATCTTAACATCATTTCAACTTGATTACAATTAAGCAACTTACAACATAACAACACTATCATCATCCTCAACAGGATCAACATACAACACAATCACAGCTTAACAACATAACAACATAGATACAACTTTTATCAACAACAAATCAACTCATCAACAACTTATGTGTCATCATGCATTTCAACTCGGAGATCTCCAACAACTAAGGTTGAGCAGTCTAGGTGGCATAAACCCTACCAAATCCAGCGTTTGACCTATCTCAACCAAGTCAGGTATAGAACAGCGTTAGGAACTCCGAAGAGAACCAGGTATAGACAATAATAGGCAATTGCTCAGGTGTGCCACTTAGATTCGGAGGTCCAGTACTACTGTAAGGACAGAAGGGTTTGGGTATGAGCCTACCACAGCCTTGGCTAGCATCACCAATCCACATATGGAGTTAGCCCACCCACTGTCCTCCAAGTACTACGCACCCTCTAGTACCTAGTCAAAGACTACATCTCTAACTAGATACCTTACTCAAATTGGTCATTCAACCATGACATGGATCGACTACTTCCATGTCGCCCACACAGTACTAAGAGATTCAACTTTAAAACAACTTTCAACTTATCTCCTTAGTACTATGTATCTCAACATAGGACATATATCTTCACCATATGTCCCCAACTTTTTAACTTTACAATAATAGACATCATAACAAATTTACAACAATAAACATCTGGCCGCTTGTAATCGGTATAGCTCAGCTTGGCCCCTATACCGTGGTCTCTTTGTACACGTGTGCCTCGACCTTGCCCACACACGGGATTAACTAAGTCCTAGAGGAGAACAACACACCGTCCACTCCAAGGGACAACTTTCCAAGGAGGGTTTTTCAACAAATTGGGCTCTCAGAGCACCACAACTATCTCAATCCACACAATGGGATGAACAACTTCGAAAACATCCCCCCTAGTCCTAGTGATAACAACTCATCATCATAACTTAATTAGCTTAACAACTTAAACAACATACAAATTTTTAACTCATCATCTCAATCAACATTCAACTTGAACAACATAGTTTATCAGCACAACAACTCATCACAAATTGTTTAACAACACAACATCTCATTTCAACTTTAAACAACACAATCAACTCAACAGCTTATTAGCTCAACTCATAATTTACAACTCAATCATTATAAAATAGTATATTTTCAACACATGGCACAACATACAACTTTATAGCAACATACAACTCTATACTCAACATACATCTCTTCATTTCACTTTCTACTCATCATACATCTCAATGTAATTATACAACTTCTTATTCAATTATACAACTATGCAACTTTAATAATTTTAACAACATGCAAACAACTTAATTAAACAACTATAGTCATTACAATATCAACTTAATGCAACTTAACAACTTTATAAACAACTTCAGCAATATACAACATATTTAAAATTCATCTATCATGTCAACTTACACAATATAAACAGCATAAATCAACTTAAGCACCCAACAACTCAACTATTTCAACAAAAGAACACCATGCATAAAGCTTCCCTAACTCTCCTGAAATTAAACAACCTACATTCTAGCTTCCCTCACCTGAAGATTAGCTCAGAATAGCCAAGAACTGAGAAGAAGCGGAATTCCTTTTCCAAAGCTCAACCCGGGACTTCAATCCACCCAAAGCAAGCTTCCTAATCCAGAGTCCTTCCCTCTAAAACTTCTCTCTGAAAACCTGTCATTCTCCTCAATTGCACAACCTCTATTTATAGAAGTCTAAACTGGCCAGAACGGCCCATTCCAAATCCGGAACGACCCGTTCTGGGATCCTTCGTCATGTGTAAAATTCACATGCAGAACGGCCTATTTTGAAACCAGAATGGCCCGTTCTAACACGTCTAGAACGGCCCGTTCTGGAGTTGAATTTAACTCACAATGACCATTTTAGAACGACCCGTTCCAGTCTAAGATTCATAGGCCTATTTATTAGTTTGGAATGGCTCGTTCCAGTTTGGGAACGACCCGTTCTGAGCTACTAAATCACCCTTGTTTTAGTGGTTTGGGAACGACCCGTTCCAATCTGGGAACGCCCCGTTCCAGTCTACTAACTACGTTGCAGTCAAGTCTCTCTAGGCACAAACAAGTATTCTTTTGTAGGTAAGCCTCTATAGGCTCAAACAATTATTCTTTCACAAACAAACCTCTTCAAATGCAAACAAATATTTTTTTTTACAGTCAAGTTTTTATAGGTTCTAACAAGTATTTATTTGCAGACAAACTTCTTTAGGCTCAAACAAGTATTCTTTTACGGTCAAGTCTCTCCAAGATCTAACAATTATTCTTTTGCAGACAAATTAATCTCTTCAAGTCTAACCTTATAACAACAATTATATATGGGTAAATTTTTACAGATGTTTCCTCTTACAAACAAAATGTAATACAACCAATTAAGAAAATAAGTCTTACAAAATGAATGAATGAATATTGATTTTTTGCAAAAGTTTTTTTTTTCTTTTTGATCGTGAAACTTCTTATATAATAATCTAAGTAGAGATGATCATTGCAAAACCTTGAAGATTCTTCACAAGCTTGCTTCATCTGTCTTTGTTACATGTTTCTTGAGATGAGAAGTGTCTGTTGATTATTAAATGCTTACATTAATTGCATTTCACCAAATTGTCACTTATTATCTTATCAAAGAGGTTACATATCAACTTCATGATACCGAATGGACTATTTGTAACGTGTGTTAGCAAGGAGTAGGTTTTGTATCAACTTTTGCTAACTTTCTCTATCATTTTAGAGATTCATTTATCCTTGATTTTGGCACAAATCATGACTTCATTCATTTTAACAAATTTGTGAGTTCCAAAGAATTTTCTTGGTTCGATATATTAAGGAATCACTTAGACATATAATAAGTAGTCGTTAGCCATTATAAATGATATGCATTTAAGATATTATGAAGTCAGACTATATGCTTCATCTAATGACATATTATTTATTTAACAATTTGTGTCTTATATTTCATCTAATTTGTATTTCTCAAAAAGACTTTTCATTTAAAAAAAATTCTATTTATTATCATTAAAATTTTGAAAACTTGATAAATAAAAGATCATCTTTTAACTTAACAAATCATAATTTACTTCTTTTAACATATTCATAATAAAATTTCTCACTTACTACATGTATAAACACATAAATAGATTATCAACTTTATTTTTTCACTTTAATGTTATTTAATTTTTTTTACATGGAATGTAAAGTTAATTAATCAAATCGATGAGTGATTTATATTTATATTTTTAATTATTTATTAAATTTTAAGTAATTTGACAAAGTATTATTTTTTTAATTCTATATGAAATTTTATAAACTTAATTATATAAAAGTTTAAGATTTAAATATGTTTTTAATCCTTCAAATTTAGAATAAATTTACTTTTATCTTTCAAATTTAAAATTATTATTATTATTTTTATAATTTTTAAAAATTTTATTTTAATCTCTCAAGTTACCAATAACATACTTAAAAATGATAAGTTGAAATAATTAAATAATATCAATTAAAATTTAATGTGGTATTTTTACCGAAAAGAACATAAATAAGTAGATTTTATGTGATAATATTGAATAAATTTTATAACAAAATTTGAATATAAAGTAAAATAAGATTTTTTGAAGACTAAAATATTTTTTAAAAAATTATAAAATTAAAAAAAAAACTAATTTTAAATTTAAAGAATTAAAAATAATATGAGAGAGTAAAAAGATATTTAAAGCCAAGTTTAATCTCGATTAGTGAACTCAAACCGGTGTTAAATTGGGTAGGGTGTCATTTTCTTAGACAGGATGTCATTTCTTGCTAGCTGTTTGATATTTTCACGTTTTGCTTTTCCTTTTTTTTTTTTTGACGTTTAATTTACAAGTAACGATACATAAAAAAAATTATATAATATGATCAATATGTCTAAATACAAGTTTAGAAGTGTAATAAAAATATTCTTTATTATTAATAAAAAAATTCAAAAATATTTTTATATTATATTGAAACATAATTTGAGTTGAATGAACATAATTAATAGGCGAATTTGATGCTGAATTAAAAATACTAAAAGCTTTAATTATTTTTCTTTTTGGTTATTTATTATATGTAGAAATATAATTTGGATTAATTTACAGTGAAGAAAATGGTTAAAGAGGGGTGGAAGTTGAGAACATGGTTGGGCATGGTGTACACATTTGCAACCATTAAAAGGCTTTGTTTGATTAGAAAATATCGTATCTAACGTAATGCAAAACAAACAAGAAACATGGTTGGTCTTTTCTCTCTCTCTCTACACATTTCTAGAGAAAGAATTGGTTTGTAGGAAACAAACAAACAGTAAAATAATAATATATAATGTGTAAATTATAATAGGGCCAGAAGAAAATAAAAGGAAAAAGAAAATGTGAAGAAAAAAGAATGGGAGGAATAATAATAATAATAATAATCCGATGGCCACAAATTGGGAAGAAAAAGAAAATTGCATATGCAGCTCCTTCCCCTTCTTTCGCCCACTTGCGCTTTTGATAACAAAAGAAAAAAGAAAACCCTAACACGGGAGAGATTTTCATTCCCCCACAAATCTCTTCCCTCTCTCTCCTCCTCCTCAACTTCCTTCCCCGACCCAGGTGGTAACGAAATTCAATTCATTTAATTTCGTTTAATTAATCGATTGGATGATTCTGATTCTGATTCTGATTGAATTTGAATTTGAATTTGACATTGACATTAACAGATCCGGTGGAGTGATTGCAAGGAATGCCGCTGATTTTGGCGAAAAGCGACTCGATCGAGATTCGCGAGGTGTGGAACGATAACCTGGAAGAGGAGTTCGCGTTGATCCGGGAAATCGTGGACGATTACCCGTACATCGCGATGGACACGGAGTTTCCGGGAATCGTTCTCCGACCGGTGGGGAATTTCAAGAACAGCTACGACTACCATTACCAAACCCGAGGTGTGGAACGATAACCTGGAAGAGGAGTTCGCGTTGATCCGGGAAATCGTGGACGATTACCCGTACATCGCGATGGACACGGAGTTTCCGGGAATCGTTCTCCGACCGGTGGGGAATTTCAAGAACAGCTACGACTACCATTACCAAACCCTAAAGGACAACGTGGACATGCTCAAGCTCATCCAATTGGGCCTCACCTTCTCCGACGAGCACGGCAACCTCCCCACGTGCGGCCCCGCCCACACGTGCTGCATCTGGCAATTCAACTTCCGCGAGTTCAACGTCAACGAGGACGTCTTCGCCAACGACTCCATCGAGCTTCTCCGCCAGAGCGGCATCGATTTCACCAAGAACAACCAAAACGGCATCGACGCCCGTCGTTTCGGGGAGCTCCTCATGTCCTCCGGCATCGTTTTGAACGACAACATCCATTGGGTAACTTTCCACAGCGGCTACGATTTCGGCTACTTGCTCAAGCTTTTGACTTGTCAGAATTTGCCTGATACGCAAGTCGGGTTCTTCAACTTGATCAACATGTACTTCCCCACCGTCTACGACATCAAGCACCTTATGAAGTTCTGCAATAGCCTCCATGGCGGCTTGAACAAGCTCGCCGAGCTCTTGGAGGTTGAGAGGGTTGGGATTTGCCACCAGGCTGGTTCCGACAGTTTGCTCACTTCATGTACATTCAGGAAATTGAAGGACAATTTCTTTAGTGGCTCCTTGGAGAAGTATGCCGGCGTCTTGTATGGGTTAGGTGTTGAGAATGGACAGGGTTCTTATTGAAAAATTAAAAATTAAAAAATCTAAATAAAAACAAACAAAAAAGATCAACTTAAATTAGTCCACAAAAAAGTGTTTAAAACTTTGGTAGATTATCCCTCTTTGTTTCCACTGCTGTATATTTCGGTGAAATACCAACTTTTATTAATGTAAACCTTTGGCATTAAGGGTCTTTCTTTTCTCCACTTGTTTGTGCCTCACTCTCTTTTTGTGTTATTGTTTTTGTTTTACTTTCAGTTTGATTTATGACCTCTTTGTATAAGTTTCTCTAAAAATATTTCTAGCAGAGAAAAATAAAAACAAAAATTGAAATAAGATTTTTTATAAGCTAAAATTAATTTATGTATTAGTTAAAAATCAGATTTAGAGAAATTAACAGGTGTTTATGCAGTTAATTTCAACTTACAAAAAGTTTATTTCATTTTTTTATTTGTATTTTACTTTTCTAGGTAAGGAAGGTTATCCAAATAGACCCTAGGTTTGGTTTCACATGGTCATGAATCATTGGCTAGGAGATGTAGTGTGTGTTTGGTTCTCGTCCAGGATTCACATTTAGTGTGAAATCATGTCAAAGATGATGCAAAAAACAACTATTAATGGATTTTTGCAGGCTAATGTGCATCCTGGGCAGTGGGTACCAATCCAAACACGCACTGCATCTTGTAGCCTATGAATTCGATTTCACTACAGGATCACTGGATCTGATAAGATGATAAACTGATTCTTAAGTTATTTGAAGTGCTGTGATCAGGATATTTTCAGGGAAGGGTGGGGGCAGGCAGTTGTTGAGAGCCACCAGCAATTGGTTTTTGAACTATTTTTGTTCTCGGCACTTGCTTTTAAATTGTTACCCATTTCTTTGGTTTTCTTGGTAGTGAGCTCATAGCTCATAAAAGGAACTTTACTGTTTGGTGTTATTTGTTTATTTTAAAGTAAAGAAAAAACTATGCTGTGACATTAATATACTTTCCAGTCTGTCATTGGTATATATCAAATTTAGAATGATATTGATAACCATTTTGGAAGAACTTTTGCATCAGATGGGACTTGGGAGAGAGGAGGTAAAGCATTCACTTGCATTACGGTTGCTGATTGGAGGTAAAACAAGAGTTTATCTTAATTTTACCGCATACCTTAGCTGCTTTAGCTAAAGACTCGCCCTTTGGTTTGTTTAGGATTTTGCGTGGTCAGTAACACGGTTTGATCAGGTGGCATGAAGTATTTCTTTCTTTGGTGGTTGTTTCACCCAGGCCTTGTGTTTACGTTGTGAAAACAAACAAGCTGTTTATGGTGTGTGTAATTGGACATTTGTGTTTATACAACTCCTAGAGCATTGGGAGAAAATCTGAAAAAAATGTAGCCATAGCTCTGCTGGTGTTTCTGAGTAAATCATCAATTTCATCCCTGAACTGTTACTCTCTTTTGAATATTCCCTAATGTTGAACAAATTATGTAAGTAGTCTTGAAATTATTTGAAATCATATCAAGTAATCCTCCAACTATTAAGAAATCCTTTGAGTTTGTTTCTAAATTTCATTAAAATACATTAATAGAGTGATGGATATTCAATTATGTGATTATTTAAATAATTTCATTACTTTAACTATCTAGGGGAGAGAGTAATAGTCAGAGGATGAAATTGGTGGTTTATTCTTTTAGTGTGCTATGAAGGACATAATGCTTGTCTTTGCACAAAACATGTGAAACTTGTTCTTCTGAGACGCAAGAGCTGGATAAGAACGAAGTGGAAAAATTTGATCAATTTTGGGTTATGGTTGCCTTTTCTTTGTGACAGCATGTGTTACTTTGTGTTTCGTTGATTTTAAGCATTGTCAAGAAAGGGCATCTCGATGTTTTTTCTCTTGCTTGTGTGTTAATCTGCTTTGTCTGTAGGGTGTTGGCGTCAACACAAGACTACAAAATTCATTTCATGCATTGATTTGTGATGGATTGCTCCGAATGCACTTTTACCTGATGCATGAACTTCAAATGTGTATCGTTTAATTTTTAGACAACAGTTTCAATTTGCTAACTGCACCAATTCCGGCTGCATGAAATCTGGGTCTAGAAAGCTTTTGCTTTTCTGATTCTTATAAAAATTATGTCATTTGATTGTGATTGATTTTCGATTGAGTTTTGTTTAAGTCATTTTAAAAATGAAAACATTTAATACATTAAAAATACGAAAAATGTAATAAATGTTGTTTCTTAATAAAACCTTTTCATCTCTATTTGTTTAAAATAAATTTAAAGATCTGATATTAAGAAAATCATTTTATTGTAGCATACATTTCCATCTCGAAAATGAGTTCGTTAAACATTTAAACTTAGATATTGACGTATTAAGATAACCTTAACATCATGTTTGGTTTTGCTAAGAAGTAACTTTATACAAATATATTTTTAACTTTATTTATATATTATGTTATATTATCACTTTATCAGGATTTGAATGAAATTTAGATGATTATATTTTTTAAAAAAATCAAATAAATACGTAGAAGGAAAAAATAGGTTCTTGATTTTTTAGTAATTCTTTTCCTTCAATCTGAACAACTTTTTTATTTTTTTTAAAGTTTTTAACTATTTATCGTTTCTCTCTCTTTTTTTTTTCCAACCCATTTCTTTCTATATCCAAATATAGGAAAGATTGAAAGGTAAAACCCTATATTATTAATTTTTTAAGCGGGTTAGTTGTTAACGGAGTCTTAAGAGGTGTTCAGTCAGATTTTTTTATTATATATATTTAGAAATCATGATTTATGAGAATTACAAATTTTGATAATTATACTTCTTAAAAATAATTAAAATATGATTAGTTATTTATTTTTAGAAATAC